GCGCAGGGGGGCTGTAGATGTCTGCCAGAGAATTCCCGTGTGGTTCACCTGGAGCTCCACCACGCACTCCATCGAACGCTTCGTCTCCATCAGGTTGTACCAGAGGTTGGCCACGGGCCCTGGTGGCAGCAGGGCTGGCTCAGAGCCACCAGCTCCCAAGAGCCCACTGGGGGACACAGGGATTGGGGGGACCCTACCGTTGTAGATGGCAGCGAAGACAAAGGAGAGGACGTAGAGCCGACCCTCCTTTCCCAGGAACTTGGGCACCATGAGCAGGTTGGCACAGCGAAAGTGGGGGGACGTGGCCCAGCCCAGGGCAGTCACCCCTGTGCAGAGCAGAGAGCTGAGCCCACGGCCCCACAGAGAACCCCCTGAGGCTTCTGGTGGTCCCCATCACCTCAGTCCCCTCCCTGCCCCATCCTCACCTGTCAGCCACCAGGTAAGGTTCAGCTTCCGTGTCTCTGACACGTCCAGGGGCATGATGAGGAGGTGGCAGAGCCCTGGAACACACAACAATGTTCCTCATTCTTCCTAATGCTCCTAATGTTCCCATTCTTCCATTCTTCCAATGTATATATCTATAATTCTTCCAATGTCTATATATAATTCTTCCAATGTATATATATATAATGCTTCCAATGTATGTATATAATTCTTCCAATGTGTATATATTCTTCCTCAAAGACTTAAAAACTCACCAACAATCTGCCAATAGTTGGTAACACAAACCTTATCTCCAGCTCAAAAGAGACATCCTCGAAAAATAATTACACATTACATAGATAATCTACTCATGAGAGTACCAACGCATGCAAAAATACAAAAGACTCGTGACAGCATAATTACAGAACTTCAGAGTACAAGACTAGAAGTGTCTACGTCAAAAGTCAAAAAAATCTCACCATAGAAATATTTAAAATTAAAAATCACATGACAAACAAACTACAAAATATACAACTCAAAAGCAATGTCAACAATTTACAGGATTTAAAAGAAATCAATTAGATCAGGACACTTTTAGAGATCACCAGTGATAAACTTACACCACTTTTCAACTTACTGAGAAAAGACTAAAACATCAAATCTCCCAGAACCCTCACACCTAAAGCCCAAAAAGCCCTTTAAAAAGTCACTAAAGCCCTCCATCAAAAACAAGCACATCATTGTGTAATGCCACAACATGTACAAAATGTACAAAATGTACAAAAAATGTTTCTTATGTACAAAATAACGAATGGGGAACGCGTCTCGAGCTGTTTATTTTCCAGCATCACTCTCATTACAAGGTTATGACAAAGGGAAGATGCCAGCAGCTCATGACCTTGGCAGGAGCCAAAGAACTCAATGTTACAACTTATTTTAAAAGTTTTTTGACCAATCACACCAAGCAAAAGCATATTGACAGTGGTTCTATCCAACCACTATAAGCACTCGTGCCTTTGGTTAAACAATGCTTGCTTATTTCAAATACAATACCCGTTTGTAAGCATTAAAACACAATGCACAGAGCTCCAGTATTAAGCTGAGAACTTCCTAATATCTCGCTAGATATACTTTTCTTTAGCTTAGACAGTTGTTCTAGACAAGCATTAATACCTTTATTTGTCCTTTCTTTGGAGATAAATTGGGAAATTATAATGTTTATTATTATTATTATTAATTTATTTAATATATATTTTGTATATAAATAATATAAATAATAATGATATTTATTTATCTTTATTATTTATTACTATTTTTCAATTTTTTGTCCTACATTTTCTATTTTTTCATCCTCAATTTTCTCCCAAAGCATTTCCCAAATTATCCCCAAATTAAGGACCACTGTTCTATTTATTTGTCCTTATTTTCTACATCTCACATAACTTTTCTGCTGACAAACCCTCTGGCTACTGCTTAGCTCTAATTGTTCTGCTGTCGTGTCTGGAGGTGGGGAGATGAGTGCTGGGGACCAGCAGTCCCAGTGTGTGGGAAATGGATTGGAAAATTTCATAGAAAATTTATAATGTAGAAAACAATTTAATATAGAATAGATAGATAGATAGATAGATGTAGATATATGGATACAAATATATAAGTATAGATATAGATATGGATATAGATAGATATAGATATAGATAAAGATATAGATATATAGAGATATATAGAGATATTTAGATACAGATATAGATATAGATATAGATATAGATATAGATTAGAGATAGATATATAGATACAGATGCATATATATATACATAAATATATAGAAATATATTTTTATATAGAGATATATACAGAGATTATTATATGTAGAGAGAGATATAGAGATATATATATAGAGAGAGATATAAATATTTAGATATATATATATGTATGTATGTATAATACATATAATATAAAACAATTTATAGCAGTTCTGCTGTCTCCAAGACCTGCCTTTTGCAGCTCTCCCCGAACCCTGTGACTTTAAGGATTCCCACACCCACCGAAGCCAAGGAGCATCCCGAAGCCGGCTCCCAGGAAGGCTTTCCTGCAGCGATACTGGTCGGGCCGGCTCCAGAGGAACCGGCTGCACGGGCCGGGCAGGACCGAGACCACCACTCGCTTCAGGGCTGGGTGGGGACACGGGTGTCACCGCCGCGGTGCCACTGCCCTGCCTGGGACAGGACAGGCAGCGGGGCTCACTGGAGTTGGGAGGTTTCTGAGCGCGGGATTCTGCTCCGGAGGTGATGCCCGAGGGATGCTCCGACGGGGAGGGAACGCGGTTGGGTGTCTCTAAGACCACCACCTCCTGCAGCGCAGCTTGGTCCTCGTCGTCAGAGTCGAGCCTGGAGGAGGGGACGTGGGTGTTGGGGAGCAGCAGCGCCAGTGTGGGGGATAATGGATTTGTGGAAAATTTTGTGGAAAATTTGTAACAGAAAAATATTGAATGGATAGTGGAAAAAATTTGTAATATTATATTATATTGTAATATTATATAAATATTATATAAATAAATTATTCAATTATTAATTATATTATATAAATATATAACAATATAGTATCATAAAACAATAAATTAGCCTTCTAAGGACATGGAGTCAGATTCATCATTCCTCCCTTCGTCGGGCGTCTCAGAAAACCCCACAGCAGCCCTCACCTGGAGAGCAGCCCCTGGCTCTCCTCCTCCTCCAGCTGCTCCTGCAGCCCCCTGGCCGTTCTGGAGGGGAGCCCCCGGCCCTTGATCATGTCCTTGATCAGGTCCCTATATGCATAGTAATAAGAAAATTATTTACAGAAAAAAAATTTAAGTAGAGAAAATTTTACAGAAATGTATAGAGGTTTTTTTTTTTAAACTTATTTTAATATAGAAAATTTATAAAGTTTGACAGTACCTTAGAATTTATAGAAAATATTTAATGTTTAAATTTATAGAAAATTTTTAAAGTTTGACAGAAGGTTCACATAGTGTGTATTTGTATGTAAACTTTGAGATAAGAAATGTTGATTTAGAAACATTTCAGGACAGACGTTGTCCAGAGAGAAATGGAGCTAGAAACAAATTTTAAAGGGTGGCTTTACAAATAAGACTAGATACTTTAGAGAAATAAAACTATAAGATACATTGTAGTAGGACCCACGAGGGTAATGTTAGATTATTTATTTTAAGATGTATTGTAATAAAACTTATACGAGGAGTAGTTTTATATGATTAGATTTAAGATATATACAGAATGGTGTTGCAAAAAACTGATATAAACACTTATAAGCGTATTGTAATTAGAAAATAGTTGGCTTCTAATTGTGATAGCGCGAATTACAACATCTGTATTGTCTCACCTTTCTCATAAGACTAAAAATAGAATAAAAGTTTTTAAACTTTCAACTTCTCAGTTGCCCCATCTCTAGGTTAAGAAAAGAGTATTGTCCAGTTTGTAGACAACACTCTTTTCTTGACCTAGAGCTCTCTACAGATCCGTTTCCCACACTCCAGGAGGAGCCACAGCAGCTGGCACACACCGGTCCTCAAGGTGGCTCACGGCAAGGAAGTGGGAATGGAGCAACCTCACCACAAACACAACTTGTGATGTCACAAGCCCACATTTCTCAGTCTTAATAAAGATACAAGGATTTTGTCTTTAGTGAATTTTCCCACTTTTCCCTCTAGTGGAGGTTTCCTGGGAGTTCAAGCATGATTAGATGCTGTAATGAGAGACTGACTCCACCATCCCTAAATGAGTCCTGGCACTGCTGTCTGGATTACAGTTCCTAAGAAAACATTTAGCTTCTGTCTCAGGTATGGGCTACTGTGTATTAAAGAGATCCTGGAATGTATGTTAGTAAGTTTTCTCTTAGTATTTCTACTTGTAATAGATCTAGATCGACCTAGAAGATTCAAAGAATATAATCATCCTAACATTCTAGGTCCAAAGCATACATAGAACATGAATTTACTAATATCATAAGCAAATTTCAGCTGCAAAGTCTTTTAACTAAGAATTTGCCACCTGTCAGCATTTTAAAAACCTAAAAGTCACTTACTAAAATCAATAGCAAATTTCTAACTTCTAAGAAAAGTACATTACTTACACTGATACCATATTGTCAAATTAGGACACATGTATGTATGTCAAACTATGACATATATTAAGTGGAAAATTTAAATACCTATATTTTTAATCATTCATAAGTTGTTCATGTTAAAAAATTTTTTTTGCACTATACAGAAAACCTCTCCCGACCAATTTTATAGCCCTGATCAAGCCATGAACCTGGCTGGTAAAGAAAAATATTTAGTATGCAAAGAGTCCTCTCAGAAGAGTGAAGGCTCAGTGTCCTCTGCACGCCAGAAGGAGGAGTGCAATCAGACACTGTGAATAATTCAGGCGGCAGGAATCACCGTGCCCAGCTGGGAGGGGCCGTTTCCTTACTGACCGAGCATTAACTCCACTATTTTGCATCACAAAACCAAACGCTAACTCGGGTTACTAGTGGAAGGGGCTTTGGGTGAGTTCAGAATTAGGGGAGCAGCTCTCACCAGTTCACAGCTGTGGAGAGGCAGGAGGAGCAGTGATGTCCACCTGAAGCTCGGTGAGGTGGTAACTTCACTGTGGGACAAGTTCCATGTTCCCCCTCCCCAGTGAGCACTCGTGAGAAATGAATTTGTAGAGAATTCTTAAAGTTTGACAGAAGGTTTACACAGTATGCAATTGTACGTAAATTTTGAGATAGGAAACGTTGACTTAGGATAGGAATAGGATAGACATTGTTGAGAGAGAAATGGAACTAGAAACAAATTTTAAAGGGTGGCTTTACAAATAAGACTAGATACTTTAGAGAAATAAAACTATAAGATACATTGTAGTAGGACCCACGAGGGGTAATGTTAGATTATTTATTTTAAGTTATTTATAGTATTGTGTAGTTAAAGCTAATAAACTAAGAAACACTTATTAATTCTGATTGCGATGGTGTGAATTATAACATTTGTATTGTCTCACCCTTCTCATGAGACTGAAAATAAAAGAAAAGTTTTAAAACACCTCTCAGTTGACCCATCTCTAAGTCAGAAAAAAGTATAATCCAACAGCAGTGCTGGAAGGGAAGGAAGTCACTGCCATCCCACAGGCAGCCTGTCACTGTCATATTTTCTAGAAAAATCCCTTCGCCAGGATTTCTCTCCTGGGAAGCTGAGAAGCCTCAGAGAAAAAGGAAAACAATATTGTCTCATTTGCTTCTCCTGTGTTTTGCTGCTTTGGAATGTGATTGGGGATTGTTTGTCCAACAGGTGCATGTTTCATTGGTTTCACGTGAATTGTTTTTATTTAATGGCCAATCACCGTCAAGCTGTGTCAGGACTCTGGAAGGAGTCATGAGTTTTCTTTAGTATCTTTTAGCCTTCTGTCTGTATCCTTTCTCTATTCTTTAGTATAGCTTAGTTTAGTATTCTTTAATACAATATAGTATCATAAAACAATAAATTAGCCTTCTAAGGACATGGAGTCAGATTCATCATTCCTCCCTTCGTCGGGGGTCTCAGAAAACCCCACAGCAGCCCTCACCTGGAGAGCAGCCCCTGGCTCTCCTCCTCCTCCAGCTGCTCCTGCAGCCCCCTGGCCGTTCTGGAGGGGAGCCCCCGGCCCTTGATCATGTCCTTGATCAGGTCCCTGATGCGCTGCAGCAGCCGCCGCCCTCGCTCCTGGCCCCGCAGCGCCCGCGCAGCGCCCGGCCGCAACCCCGCTGTCTCCTCCTCGTCACTCGAGTCCCTGCGGGGGCACAGAGGGCAGGGCTGAGCTGCAGCCCCCCTGCACGCCCACTGCAGCCCCCCAGCGCCCCTCTGCTCACAGCTCCTCATCCCCAGTGTCGGGGTAGCTCAGGGGGGCCATGCAGACGGAGCAGGTGTTGTTCAGGGTTCTGTAGCACTCGCTGCAATACAGCCCTGTGGAAAATGGGGCTGTCAGGGGGGAATGGGGAATTTTCTGGGGAGGGGGTCCCCAAACTGTGGGGAGTCTTACCTTTGCAGTTGGGTGTGATGCAGGCGGTGAAATCCGGCTGCTCTGCCGCCCCACAGATCAAGCAATGTTTGCGCTGGATGCCCGCACGGCGAGCGAGGCGAGCCAGGAGAGGGAACCTGCAAGCACGCAGGGCAATGCCATCCCAGAGGTCCTTGCCACAGACCCCCAGGGATGATGCTGCCCTGTTTTCCATCTCCTGGAAGAGCTTACCTGGAGATGAGGATAAGGAAGAACCTGCTTTTCCCAGTATCGGCCAAGCCTTGCGTGCTCACTCGGCTCAGGGCAAACAGTGCCCATTCCCGCCGTGCCCGGATGATGTTGTGGAGGAAGGCCAGGCGCTCCTGGCATGGAGGGGATGGGGTGAGGGCAGCTGGTGGCTCAGGGAGTGTAGAGGGACACACACATGCCCAAGGGGCTTCTCACCTGCTCACGGGATGGGAAGTAGGCGGCACACACTGCCCGGCGCAGGCGTGCCATGTAGGAACCGAAGACAGAGATGAAGAGCCAGATTCCATACAGGATTCCTGGTGGGAAGAAAACGAGTTAAGCAGGGGGAGCACTCCCCTACACCCCCCCACCCACCTGGGTCGTTGAGGGTGTAGCTGCCCCGGTCTGCACACCTATGGTGATGTAGGTGCCATGGTCAGGCTCCACGGGCTCGATGAGGCAGACCTGGGACAGCACCGAGACCTCGCCCTCCTGCAGCGCGTTGAAGGCAGAGACCAGATCCTGGTAGATCTCACTGGTGTAGCCCGTCCCGTTGACGCTGATGGTCATTGTCGACGGCGCTGTGGGCGAACGGCTCAGACCTGGGGCCATCCCACAGCCTTGACCCTCAGCCAGCAAAGCACCCAAGGGTGCTGCTCACCCCTGGCAACGATCTCCGCGCTCAGCTGGTGCCGGAGCAGGTCAAGCAGCCAGAAGATGCTGTAGTCAGCCAGGAGGATGCCGAACCCCAGCAGCGTGTGGCGCAGGAACGAAAAGAGCTGCAGCCCGTACTGCTGTCGCTCCGTCTTTGACAGCCACAGCGCACCTGCACGGCCACGGGAGCACCGTGAGGCCGTGCTGGGCGCTCAGGTTGGCCTGGGGGACACCCTCGGGGGTGCGGCTGACCTGGGGGGATGTAGCGGCCCCTCTCCCGCGCCGACAGGGGCAGCACGGTGGGTTTGCCCTGCTCTGCACAGCGCAGGTCCATCTCCACGAAGCGCCGCGTGATGTAAACGTTGTCAAAGGTGTCGTCCCGCAGGTAGCGGCGCCGGTAGCGAACCGCGCTGGGGGCACGGGAGCGGGGGGCAGCTGAGCACCTCCACGCCAGGTCCCTGTCCCCAAGGGTCACCAGAGCACTACTCACCGGTACCACAAGAAGAGGACGGCCAAGAAGGAGATGTAGGAGAAGAGCTCCAGGACACGGTGGTAGGGCTCCATGCTGTGCTGCACGGCCTCCATTATATCATCAGACACCTCCCCCAGGCTCTTGCTGGCGTTGAGGTTGACGCTGTAGTGGTGCACGACCGAGATGTTGAACTCAAACTCGGCGCGGACACGGTTCAGAGCATCCGTGAGGGCTGCAGAGGGGATGAGAGGTGCTGTGCATGCGGCCAGAACCAGAAGAGGGGTACAGAAAAGGACCCGTGCAGTGGTTTCAGATTGTTAATTTGGGATTTTGTTAATTTTGAGGATTTTTGGTTAATGTACACAGTGTGGCGGGTTTGGTGTTGGCTAATTACTCATAGAAAAGGACCCGTGCAGTGGTTTCAGGTTGTTAATTTGAGATTTTGTTAATTTTGAGGATTTTTGGTTAATGTACACAGTGTGGCGGGTTTGGTGTTGGCTAATTACTAATGTACTTATTTCTTGGTGTGAGGTAGGATTAGGAGAAAGGTAAATTAGGTTTAAAACTTTAAAAGGGTATAAAGAAAAATGTATTAATAGTAACTTAAAGAGTAATAAGAATTAGAACAAAACTTTTAGAATACTTTTCCTCTTCTTATAACTTTTTTTTTTCTTACTGATACTGTAAAGAAATAAAATTTTAGTTGTTTGCTACTTTTAGAATAGTCTTTTTTTTTTTGTTTAATTAGGCAGAGTGGTTAAAAGCTTGTATCACTTCTATAGATGTCTGTCACGCAAAACAATGACAACCCCCAACACCCACGTGGCACTGGGATACTCACGAGCTGTGACTCTGGACCGGATGAAGGTCTGGATGTACCCTGGGATGGTGCAGAACATCAAAGCAACTGCAGAGAGAGGGATCTCTGTAGGGCTGGACCCCCATGATGGGGACAGATCTGCCCCATCACCCCATTAGCCCCCTGTGGCAGAGGGACAGGGACTTACGAGTACTCCTCAAGCTGCAGAGGGCCTTGAAGCTGAGGACAACGTAGCAGATGTGGAAGAGGATGGGCAGGGCGCGCTCACACCTGTCCTTGGCCCTGTCCATGTAGCGAAAGCAGCTGCCCTTGGGATCCCCCAGCTCGCGGTTACAGATGCTACCAGCCCTCCTCAGCCACAGCCAAACGTTGCGCAGGGCCCGCGCTGTGGGCAGGGAGCGGGCATTGGAGACAGGGATGGTCTGAGAGGAGGGGAGGGGGTGCTAGGGCTGGGGACGCCCCCAGGGGTCCAACGCTCACCAACGTGTCTGGTGGAGTCTATGATGGAGCGGACGAACTTCCGGACACGGTCACCCAGCACCTTGGCATTCTGGCCAATCTCCTTGATTTTCCTCTGCATGTCTGCAGAGAGAGGGGACACCTGAGCACACCCCAAAGACTGAGGGTGGCCTGAGGCTGTCTGTTCCCCCCCAGGAAGGGCCCCTCCAGTCCCTCCACCTCCCCCAGCCCCCTGCTCACTCAGCAGCGGCTCCTTGGCACGTTGCAGCCGCTCGGCCGTCTGGTTTTGGGCCAGTTCAGCCCCACATGACAGCGCCTTGGCGACCTGGGAGACGTTGTGCAGGAGATTGGCGCCAGGGCCTTGCACGGTCAGGCACAGCGCCAGCACCATGACCATCATCTTCCCCTCCTCTGCAAAGACAGGGAAGAATCAGTCTCATTATCTGACAGGGAAAAATCAGTCTCATAATCTGACAGGGCAAGAATCATGACAGCAAAGAATCAGTTTTATAATCTGACAGGGAAAAATCAGTCTCATAATCTGACAGCAAAGAATCAGTTTTACAATCAGACAGGGAAAAATCAGTCAGTCTCACAATCTGACAGCAAAGAATCAGTTTTATAATCTGACAGGGAAAAATTAGTTTCATAATCTGACAGGGCAAGAATCAGTCTTATAATCAGACAGGGCAAGAATCAGTCTCATAATCTGACAGCAAAGAATCAGTTTTATAATCTGACAGGGAAAAATTAGTCTCATAATCTGACTGGGAAGAATCAGTCTCATAATGTGACAGGGAAAATCAGTCTCATAATCTGAAGGTTGTGAATTCGACCCTCACACATTTATAATCTGACAGGGAAAAATTAGTTTCATAATCTGACTGGGAAGAATCAGTCTCATAATTTGACAGTGAAGAATCACACCCATAATCTGACTGGGAAGAATCAGTCTCATAATCTGACAGTAAAGAATCAGTCTCATAATCTGACAGTGAAGAATCAGTCTCATAATCTGACTGGGAAGAATCAATCTCATAATTTGACAGGGAAAAATCAGTTTCATAACCTGACAGGGAAAATCAGTCTCATAATCTGAAGGTTGTGAATTCGACCCTCACACAGGGCACCACTAATGCTGGTTTTTAACTTCTTTTTTGTTTCTGTTAGGGTTGGGATTGAAAGTGCTCAAGATGGTATTTCGTGTCTGAATTTAGATGTTTATTATTTTTTATCTATATTACAGTCATAAATTGTGAGTTCCACAGTATTTTACTAATAAATTGCAAAATGGTTTTTTATATATTTTTACAAGGTCTTTAAAGGAAAAATTATTGAATTAAGAAACTACACAAATTATTTTTATTTTAAACTCAATAACTAATCACTTCTGTTTTGCAATGTGGACTTTTTTGTTTAATTACAAAATACTACTTAAATTTATGCAGAAGAAGGGGAAGAAGAAGGATTAGCTACAGTTTTAAAACTTCTATCTTAGTTTTATATATATAACTATATTTTAAAACTTTAAACTCTAAGTTTTCTGCTACATGATATTACCTACTTCTATTTAAACTATACACTTATAATCTTATTATTAATCTGTTATATATAATTTATAATCTTATTATTAATCTATTATACATAACTAATCTGCTGTATATAACTCATAATCATTATTAATCTGCTCTACATAACTAATCTGTTACATATAATTTATAATCTTATTATAAATCTGTTATATATAACTAAGCTGTTATATATAACTCATAATCTTATTATTAATCTGCTATATATAACTAATATGCTATATATAATTTATAATATTATTATTAATCTGCTATATATAACCCATAATCTTATTATTAATCTATTATATATAACTAATCTGCTATGTATAATTTGTAATCTTATGATTATTAATCCATTATATATAACTAATTTGCTATATATAATTTATTATCTCATCAATCTGTTATTAATTAATTTTGGAAGCTTTTTTTGTGGCTTTAGGTTCTCTTGAGGATCTGTGTTTTTCAACACAGAAAATTGAAATTTTTCAGTATCTAGGGTTCTAACACAGTCCTGGTGCTCAGCCAGGAGCCGGCATCCCCTGGCACCCCAGCTCCCACGGCTGCTCACTGGTGAAGAAATGCGGCAGCGCCAGCAGCACGATCATCCGCGTCTTCATGGAGAAGGCCATGCCCAGGCCCAGCCCCGCGCCCATGAGGACGGTGACGCTCAGGCAGTACCAGACATTGTGGCCCTGCACCAGCAGCACCAGAGCCCCGTAAATGCTGGCCAGAAGCAGGCCCAGGGTGAGGCCGCCGAGGCTGCGGGCGAACTCCCGGGCCTTGCTGGGCTCCTCCGGCCTGCGCTCGGCTCCGGGCTGCGGGGCCCGCTTCTTGCACAGGCCGCGCCGGGCCCGCAGGGCTCTGCCCAAACCCGAGACCAGCCTCATGGCCCGGTTCCTGCCGCTCCCTGCAGCTTTGTCTCGGTGGGATAGCAGCAGAGTGAGCGAGCAGTTTCCAACGAGCTGCACCGTTGGCAGGTGCTGCGTGACGGTTTCCGTTGCATTCAGAACCCCTCGGCAGTTTCAGTTGCGCTCTGCTGCAGGGGGTGTGTTGGTGTGAAAAATGCGTGTTATATGATTGGATTTTTGCAAATATTAAAGACGGTTTCCATTGCATTTGGAACCCCTCGACAGTTTTGGTTGAGTTCTGCTGCAGGGGGTGAGTTGGTGTGAAAAATGCGTGTTACATGATTGGCTTTTCTCAGATATTAAAGACGGTTTCCATTGCATTCGGAACCCTTCAGCTGCACTCTGCTGTGGTTGGTGTGCTGGTGTAAAAAATGTGAATTATATGATTGGCTTTTTGCAAATATTAGACAGTTTCTGTTTCATTCGGAACCCCTCGGCAGTTTGAGTTGCATTCTGCTGCAGGAGGTGTGTTGGTGTGAAAAATGCGTGTTATATGATTGGATTTTTGCAAATATTAAAGACGGTTTCCATTGCATTTGGAACCCCTCGACAGTTTTGGTTGAGTTCTGCTGCAGGGGGTGTGTTGGTGTGAAAAATGTGAATTACATGATTGGCTTTTTGCAAATATTAGACAATTTCTGTTGCATTCAGAACCCCTCGGTTGCGTTCTGCTGTGGTGGGTGTGCTGATGTAAAAAATGTGAATTATATGATTGGCTTTTTGTAAATATTAGACAGTTTCTGTTGCATTCAGAACCCCTCGGTTGCGTTCTGCTGCGGTCGGTGTGCTGGTGTGAAAAATGCGTGCTATATGATTGGTTTTCCACAAATATTAAAGACGGTTTCCGTTGCATTCGGAACCTCTCGGTTGCGTTCTGCTGCGGTCGGTGTGCTGGTGTGAAAAATGCGTGCTATATGATTGGTTTTCCACAAATATTAAAGACGGTTTCCGTTGCATTCGGAACCTCTCGGTTGCGTTCTGCTGCGGTCGGTGTGCTGGTGTGAAAAATGCATATTGTATTGTTATAGATAGATAATAAGATGATTGGCTCTCGCAATTAAAAGATAACTATTGTGTGAATACTAAGAAAAGTTTTAGTGATGTAGAGTTATGTTGCTGTAGTTTAGATGCCCTCTGTTCTCCCCACAGCTCCCTTTTCCCCCTGTGTTGTGACCATTAGACAGCTGGGGTGGTCTAGGACAGGTAAAAAGGAGATGTGCACGTGTGCCTTACCTGGGGCAGGTGGGAATGGAAAAGCTTGGTGCTTAGGGGGTGCTGCACGGCAACACCTGATCTCCAATCAAGTCACAAGAAAGCAGAATCCACCGATAAATGGCAAAGAAGAGCTGACTGACAGACTGTGAGAGGAGCCAGGGCTGGCTGATGCAACCCCAGGGTTATAAAAGACTGAGCATCCACCTTGAAGATGAACTGGCCACGTGGTATGCACGAGGTGCAGCTCCCAGCGCTGCAACTTCTTCCTTATGTAGTCCTTTGTTGTATTTTTGTTAAGGTTTAATAAACCTTTTTATATTTTCAAAGTGAGCACTTGTTTCTCACAATATGACTGGCTTTTCAAAAATATTAAAATTAATATTATGTGTGTTATGTTAGGAAGTTGTTCTGTATTAATTCCCTTATGTAGTGTGTTAAATATAGGTTATAACATAATGTTAAAGTAGAAACTGTGCTATGTAAGATACTCTTTAACTAGCTCAAGAAAGAGATGAGATAATCAATAAATTCTTCGCACAGAGATAACAGCAACAAGCCCCAAGAAAAGAAATATTGCCTCCTTATTGGAAAAAAACAAACTTTCTTCCACCCCCTCTTCGTCTTTGAGGCACCAACAGGATCAAGGAGGAGAAGTTGACAATAACCAGAGAACACCCTTTGTTTGAAAAGAATTTATGCACCATGTATGAGATATATGAATATGCAACAGGCCATTGCTTTTAAGAGTTAATGCTTTGTTGGCAAGCCATGCTTTTTTTGAGGAAAGCATCTGAACGTTCACAGTTCTTTGCTTTATTGTCCTCACTCTGATTGTCCAAATTCTTATTGCTCTAATTCCTATAACTATTTTTACAACCATTTTATAACTATTAAACTTTTAAAAATTTTAAAAATTTTAAAACAAGGAGCGGAGGGGGGAAAAAAGCTTTCAAGGAAGCAACCTCCCTTGACAAAGACCAGTCACATAGAAGAAAAAAAGACCTGACACAATCTTTTTCTTAGTCTCCTTACTTATATTTGGTTTTTAAAAAGTGAAGGTGGGGCTGTGTGGTGTCTGGGTTGAGAGGGTGGGGGTCTCTGCTTCTGGATGATGAAGGTGGGGGCCTCTGCTGTTTAGGATGATGAAGGGGGGGGCCTCCGCTGGGGGGGTCTCTGCTGTCTGGATGATGAAGGTGGGGGTCTCTGCTGTCTGGATGATGAAGGTGGGGGTCTCCACTGCATTAGGAGATAAAGGCAGGGCTGGTGACGGTGGGGGTCTCTGCTGGATGTGGGGTGTCTCTGCTGGATGTGGGGGTCTCTCCTGCCCTGGGAGATGGAGGCAGGGGGCTCTGCCCTCCGCGGTGGTGAAGGTGAGGGTCTTCAGCGCACAGCATGATGAAGGAGGGGTCTCCAGAGCGTGAGATGGTGAAGGTGGGCGCCTCTGCTCTCCTGGGTGGTGAAGGTGGGGGTCTCCCCTCCAGGGGATGATGAGGGCAGGGGTCTCGGGATGGGGAGGGGTCCCACCCGCAGCATCACCAGCAGTACCCCACCAGCCCCTCCCGGCGCACAGGGAACCACCCCCGCTCCGCCCCGGCCTGGGCGGTGCCGGAGGAGCGGAACGGGGCCACGGGGCTGGCAGGGAAGTTCCGCCCCCGGGCCGGGCCGGGCCGGGCGGGGTCGGTGCCGGTGCCGGTGGCGGTGGCGGGGCCATGCGCGACGGGAGCTGGCGGGGGCGGCGGGGCCATGGGGGCGATGGGGCCGCGGCTGCTGCTGGCCGCGGGGCTGCTGCTCGCCGCTGGCACCGGCAGCACTGCAGGTGAGCGGGGAACCGGGGTCCCGAGTGGGGTGGGGGGTCGGTGGGGAGCGCGGGGCATGGCGGGGATACCCACTGGGAGCGGCCCGGGAGGACCGGGATGGCATTGGGGCTCGTAGCCCCTCTGGAAGCTCGTTGCCACCTCGCCAGGATGTCCGGTGTGTCCTCCCGGTACGCTCGGTGCGCCCCCCGGTACGCTCGGTGCGCCCCCCGGTGCGCGCGGTGCCCCGTCCCCGGGATGCTTGGTGCCCCCCGGTACTCTCGGTGCCCCTTCCCAGGGATGCTCGGTGCCCCCCGGTACTCTCGGTGCCCCCTCCCAGGGATGCTCGGTGCCCCCCGGTACTCTCAGTGCCCCCTCCCAGGGATGCTCGGTGCCCCCCGGTACTCGCGGTACCCCCTCCCCGGGATGCTCGGTGCCCCCTCCCCGGGACGCTCGGTGCTCCCCCGGTACCGCGGTTCTGTCCCCTCGCTCCCCGGGTTGGTGGGGCCGTGCAGAGCGGGGTTTGATGCTCCCTCCAAACCCCATCCCAGGGCTCTGGGCGGGCAGGGGTTCCCCAAAAGCTGGCGGGAGGGGGGGGGTCTGAGTCAGCCGAGCCGGGCTCCCAGCCCTGCCCAGTCTCTGTGCTGGTTGTACTGGGCAGCCGGCCGAGGTGATGCAAGGCTTGGCCGAAGAGCCCAGCCCGTCCTCCTGCAGCCCCCAAACAGGGGGGTTCCCCCAGGCTCTGCTGGGAGCCGTGCTGTCAGTGTGGGGGTCCCTGGCACTGCTTCCCACCTGTCCTGGGGGCTGCAGTGGGTGACTGCAGGGGGGCTGTAATGCCTTGGGTGACCAGACTTTGATGGGTGACCGGGAGGGTCCAGGGTGCAGGTTGGGGGTCCAGGGTGTGCTGGGTGACCTTGGGGGTCTGGGTTGTGATGGGTGACACAGTGGTGAGGGTCTGGGCTGTGCTGGGTGACCGTGGGGGTCTGGGCTGTGATGGGTGACACAGTGGTGAGGGCCCTGTGCAGGTGACAGCTCGCAGCAGCAGCAGCGCAGTGAGGAATTAGGACACTCCTGGTCAGTGACCCCGTGGGTGCTGTGGGATAACCGGACACTCAGCTTGGCAGAAGCCACCCAGGTGAGCCCTGCCCACATCCCTGGGGTCCCCCACACTTGTGACAGTGCCTGGCACCCCGCCACCTCCCCCTGCCCTCTTCTCAGTGCAGGACATGCAGTGTCCTGGTGCCACATCCCCGGGGTCCCCAGCACCCAGAAGCAGTGGGGAGGGGGCCCCTCAGCAAATCCCCCTTCCCCTCCTGATGCTGGGAGGGACCTTTCTGGGTCGGGGTACCCACCCCGCGCCCCTCCCGGGTGGGGCGGAAGGGCCCAGCCCACCCCGCGGCCGTAGGGAGTCTCTGCAATGTTTCCGCAGCGCTGCAACGGGCAGGAAGAGCGGGGGGAACGGGGTGGGGGCCCCGCTCGGTCCAGCCCCCCTTTCCCTGACACAATGAGCCCGGGAGGGAGGGACGCTTCCTGCGGGGTGGGCAGGGCATCCCTTCCCATCCCTTCCGACCTCTCCCTCCCTCCGGCACGCGCCAGGGCCAGGCGGTGCCTCTGGGGGTGCATGGGGAGGGATGGGGCAGCTTGGGTTAGGGGGTACCCCCTTAACCCCGGCCTGTGCCAGGGGGGGTTCCCCGCCCGTCTGACAGTCCTGCTGGAGCTGGAGGGGGTGCGGCTGCTGCTGGAGCTGGAGCAAAACTGGTGAGTCTGTGGTTGTGGGGGTAACCGCAGGGCATGGGATGGAGCTTCTGGACCCGTGCAGGGTGGGGGTCCTCCTGGGACCCTGGGGCTCTGCCTCTGTCCATGGTGCACTTAGAGTGGGGGTCTCTTATTCCCTGTCTGCATCCATGCGCAGGTGGGGTGGGGGCTCCAGGGTGCACCCACAGCAGGGTGGGAGGTGCTGAGTCCTCCCTTCCTGCCGGGGTGTGCTCAGGGCAGGGTGAGCTGGGGGTTCCTGCTGTGGGTGACACGAGTCTCTGGCAGGGAGCTGGTGCAGGGCACTGGGGCACTGCTCTATTACCTGCCCGATGGCACGCGGGCGATCCAGGAGCCCAGAGAGCAGGTATGGCCTCCAGCATGGCTGGCACCTGTGCTGTCCCCAAGCTGTCCCTGTACCCCAGGGGGACCCCAGCCTGGGGCTGGATCCTGAGCCCCCTTCTCTGCTGCAGGAGCACTGCTGCTACCAGGGGACAGTGCAGGGCTTCCCTGGCTCCTGGGCCAACCTCTGTGCCTGCGCTGGACTCAGGTGAGCCCCCAAGCCCAGTGGTCTGTGAGCCCACTCCCACTGTGCTGATGATGGGATGGGCTCCATATCCCAGCTCCTCTGTCCTTCCCCAGTGGCCGCCTCTGGCTGTCAGACACCAGGAGCTACACACTGGAGCCAGACACCAGCAGTCCCACAGGGCAGCACGGGGCATCCCACCTTCGGCTGGAGCCACAGAGCTGCAGGCAGGGCCCCCACCCTGGGGCAGAGGCAACAGAGCCCCCCTGGCCACAGAGGGTAGGTCACCCAGGGGTCTTGCCCCACAGTGTCCATGTAGCAGCACTCTGACCCCTCTCTGTGGTCTTTTTGGGGTCCCTGGATGGAGGAGGAAGGAATGAATGTGACTCCATGTTCTTAGAAGGTTAATTTATTATTTTATGTTATTATATTATATTAAAGAATGCTATACTAAAACTAAACTGTACTAAAGAATACAGAAAGGATACTTACAGAAGGCTTAACAAGATAATAATGAAAAACTCGTGACTGACTCCTCAGAGTCCGACACAGCTGATGGTGATTGGTCATTAAGTAAAAACAATTCACATGAAACCAATCAAACAACTACCTGTTGGATAAACAGTCTCCAAACTACATTCCAAAGCAGCAAAACACAGGAGAAGCAGAGGAGATAATTATTGTTTTCATTTTTCTCTGAGGCTTCTCAGCTTCCCAGGAGAAGAAATCCTGGTGAAGGGATTTTTCAGAAAATATGACAGTGACACCTTTCTGTCCCCAGGGCAAGCGGGCAGCGGCAGAGCAGCACTTTGTGGAGCTGGTGATGGTGGTGGACCACGCTGCGGTGAGTGCTGGGCAGTGTCCCCACAGCAGGGGCTGCCCTTCCCACAGCCACCCCTGTGACCCCTCTCCCTGTTTCCCCAGTTCCAGAATTACCCCAACCTACAACGTGTTCACACCCGGACCCTGGAAATCGCCAACCAGGTGGATGTGGTGAGTCATGGTTGTGCCTGTCCATCCCAGCCCTTGCCTCTGCCGTGCTGGGGGGGCTCTGACCCCTGTGTGCTCCCCCAGTTCTTCCGCCCGCTGGGAGTGCGGGTGGCCCTGCTGGCGGTGGAGGTCTGGAGCGAGGGTGACAAGATCGCGGTGGGCGGCAGCGCCCGGGCCGTGCTGGAGCGGTTCCTGCGCTGGCGCCGGGAGGAGCTGCTGCCCCGGCTGCCCCACGACAATGCCCAGCTCCTGACGTGAGTGGGGGACAGCGTGGGGACAGGGGGATGAGGCCGCAGCAGTCCGCCAACCTGCTGTGCTCTCTCTCCAGGGGTGCCCACTTTGATGATGTGTCCGTGGGGATGTCGACTCAAGCCTCCATATGTTCCCCCACGCGCTCTGGGGGCGTCAGCATGGTCAGTGCCTCTGTCCCCCCACCCCGTCCTCCCACCAGCTGCCCTCCCTGACCCTCCTGTCCCACAGGACCACTCTGTCAGTGTCCTCGTCGTGGCCTCCACTGTGGCCCATCAGCTGGGGCACAACCTGGGCATGCGCCACGACAGCGCCGGGCGCCTCTGCGACTGCGGCGACCTCCGGCACGACCGCGGCTGCATCATGGCACCACCCACGGGGTGAGGGCAGCAGGCAGCCCTTCGGGGAGCTGGGGCCGAGCCCCTTCCTCTCCTCACCTCACCTCACGGGCCCCTTCCTGCCTCTGCAGGTTGACACCTGGCTTGAGCTTCAGCAACTGCAGCCGGCAGGACCTGGAGCGCAGCCTGCAGCAGGGCCAGGGCTGGTGCCTCTCCAATGTCCCCGAGCCCCAGCTCCTGACCGGGAGCCCCACCTGCGGGAACCACTTCGTAGAGCTGGGCGAGGAGTGCGACTGCGGCCTCAGCGTGGTACGGGGGGCTCTGGGTAGGCCTGGAGCCCTGAAGCCACCCCATTGCTCCATGGGTGTCTGGGGCTGGCAGGGTGGTTTCCAGTGCTGCTGGCACCCGCTGACTGCAGCCCCCCCACTGCAGGAGTGCACCGATCCTTGCTGCAACAGCAGCTCCTGCCAGCTGATGCCAGGAGCTGCATGTGCCACCGAGGACGCCTGCTGTGAGGACTGCCAGGTGTGTGGGGATGCCATGGGCACAGCAGCCACTCCCCGTGGTGGGCGAGTGCCCCACCCACCCCGTTGATCTGACCATGTCCCCCACTCACCCTGTTTATCTGACCATGTCCCCCCACCCACCCCATTGATCTGACCATGTTCCCCACCCACCCCATTGATCTGACCATGTCTCCCCACTCACCCCGTTGATCTGACCATGTTCCCCACTCACCCCATTGATCTGACCATGTCCCCCCACTCACCCCGTTGATCTGACCATGTCCCCCCACAGCTGCGCCGTGCTGGCCACGTGTGTCGGGAGCCGCTGGGCGAGTGTGACCTGCCCGAGTTCTGTGACGGGGTCTCACCACGCTGCCCCCCTGACACATTCCTGCAGGACGGGCAGCCCTGTGCCGGCGGGCGGGCACACTGCTACAGCGGGGCCTGTGCCACCTACGAGGGGCAGTGCCAGCAGCTGCTGGGGCCAGGTAGAGCAGGGCCAGGGTGGGGTGCTGGCAGCTAAGTAGGGGAGCTGAGGGTCTCTGCCCCCGCTGCAGGTGCCAGTCCTGTCTCCAGCTCCTGCATGGCTGCCCTGAACACAAGAGGAGATGAACGTGGGCACTGCGGGCAGCTCCCCAACGGCTCCTATGTCACTTGCACACAGCAGTGAGTGAGGTCCCCGTCCTTCTCCATGTCCCCCTTGCCATGCCCCCTGCCCTGACCCCTCTGTCCCTGCAGGGACACCAGGTGTGGGATGCTGCAGTGCCAGCGCAGCAGCTCCCATGGGGACAGCCCAGAAGGGTCCTGCCAGGGGATCACCCTGCCTGGGGATGAGGATGTGACCGATGCAGCCATGGTGCTGCCTGGCACCACCTGTGGCCCTGGGAAGGTGAGAAATGGGGCGACAGGGAAGGGCCCGGGGGGAATCTCCCAGTGCTGACACCCCATCCCCCACAGATGTGCCTCCAGCACCGGTGCCAGGACATCTCCATGCTGGGTGACCAGCAGTGCCAGAGCAAATGCCATGGGCACGGGGTGAGTGCAGGGCTGGGGAGCGGCTGCTGGCAGTGAGGACCTGCCCCTCAGGGGCTGAGCTCAGCCATTGTCACCCCCCCAGGTGTGCAACAACCACGGGCACTGCCACTGTGAGCGGGGCTGGGCCCCCCCAAGCTGTGACAGCCCCGGAGTGGGGGGCAGCCAGGACAGCGGCCCTGCCGGCCTTGAACGAGGTGAGGGCCCAGGCGAGCGCAGAGAATGGGGCTTTGTGCGGGTGCCGGGGGGGGACGGGCACGGCGGGGGCTGACGTGCTGCTCTCCCGCAGGGGGAAGCGCCCTGCCCACGGCCCTGCTGCTGAGCGCGCTGCTGGGGCTGGCGCTGGCACTGGGGCTGTGCCGAGCCCGCCGTGCCGGCCTGCACAAGCACCTCTGCCAGCTTGGAAAGGGCACCTCCTGCCAGTACAGGTACTGGGGGACAGGGGGGCGCATCGGGGGTGTGTGGGGGGCACGTGGGTGTTGGCACGCTCGCCTCTGCATGCGTGTGCCGAGGCACACCGGTGGCACGTGGCTGCCACGCTCACCTCTGCATGCGTGTGCCGTGACACACGGGTGACACACGCACTTCTACGTGTGTGTTGTGACATGCAGGTGGCACACAACCCCCTTGCATGCGTGTGCCGTGTCATGCAGATGGCACACCGGCCTCGGCGTGTGTGTGCCAAGACACGCAGGTGGCACGCGACACCTCTGCACGCGTTCGCCGTGGCACATCAGCGGCCTGCTCGACTCCGCTCGCTCGTGCTGTGACACACAGGTGGCACACACACCTCTTGCATGTGGCACGCAGGAGGCACGCTCAGTTCCGCACACGTGTGCTCTGGCATGTGAGCACACAGGCACACGCGTCCCCCGTGGTGGCTGCCCGGGCGCTGTGCACACGTGTCCCCGCAGAGTGACCATCCATGTGTGCGTGTGCGTCCCCAGCGCAGGTCACAGCCCTGTCACCTCACATCCCCGCGGCTCCTCTCGCCCCCCAGCCGCGGGCTGAGCCCCCCACTCTTCTCCCCACAGTGCTGAGACCCGGGTGCGGTTCCTGGGTCCCGGAGCCGCAGACGGCTGGAGCGGGTAACGTCACCTCCGGCGCCCGGGCGTGGGGCTGTCCCCGAGCCGTCCTGCTTCGCAAGGCCTCCGGTGCTGCGCTCTTCCCCTGGCAGTGCCCGTGGGGTGCGGGGCAGCCCCGGGGTGCGGGGTGTCGCATCTTCCAGCGCCGAGGGGTTCGTTTCTCTTGGGCTTCTGCTGGTGTCGGTGTCGCTCGGTGGCCGTGCGGGGTCCCCCAAGTGCCCAGAGCGAGCAGGGTCTCATCATCCTGGGTTTTCCCTGCAGGATCTCACAGCCAGAGCCCCCGTCGGGCAGCAGCCAAGGGCCCCCTGCGCGTCCCCGGCCCCCGCAGTGGCGGCAGGCCACGGAGCTGCAGGTCATGCATGGCAGCAAGGTGAGGATGGGGGTAGCGGGTGCCCAGTTCGCTCCAGTCCTGGGCTGTGGAATCCCACTCCCTGGCACCCATAGCAGCCTGGCACGGCCACTTGGCACAACCGGGATTGGAGCCCGTCCCAGCCAGGGCTGTGCGCTGAAGGGGGGTCTCTGTCTCTGCCTGGCGGGAGGGGGGTCTCCGCATGCTGCATGGCTTGTCCCCCCTCTCCCTCTCTCCGCAGCCGGCTGCCCTCGGCTCAGCCCGGCCTGATCCGCCCTCCCGGCCTCTCCCGCCGGACCCTGTGCCCAAGGTAATGCCCGGGCAGGGCGGGGGGTACCCCCCAGCCCACCCCGGACCCGCTGCATGTCTGGCTGCGCTCCAGCTCTCGGGGACTTGTGTGACACGGCTGTCCCCGGACCCCTCCTGCCCGGCGGGAGGCCGGTTCCCGCGCTCCCCCACTTGTCCCCCGCTGTCACACTGTCCCTCTCTCTCTGCCCAGGCCCCCCCCTCGGACAGGCCGCCCCCCCCCACACGCCCGCTGCCCGCAGACCCTGTGCTGCTGAGCGCTCAGGTAACGGCAGCAGCACCTGCGTGTGGGGCACGAGGCCGATTCCCACCCCCCGAGCCCGCCGGGGGGTCAGCCCACCGCCGAGCTTTGACCCCCCCCGTGCCCTTGCAGCCCCCAGGTCCAGCCAAGCCCCCTCCACCGCAGCGGCCGCTGCCCTCAGACCCCCCGGGCCCTTCGCTGGCCCGCAGTGAGACCCCCCCTGGGCACGCCTATGTCACCGTGATTCCTGCCAGGTGAGCACGGGGGGACAGCCAGGGCTGGGGGGCCCGGGGGGGTTTGAGGGGACAATGTGGGGTGCCAGGGTGGGGGCCTGCAGAGGCCTGAGGGGAGTGCGGGTGGAGGAGAGGGGGTGGCCAGGAGAAATGAGGGGCCAGAACAGGGTGGGAGAGGAGAAAGGAGAGCGTCAGGGTGGGGATGCAGAGCAGGGGACGGGGGGAGCTGCAGGGGGAAGTTGTGCCGACCCCACCCTCACCCCATCGCCCTCCCTCCTCTTGCCAGGCCCGCCCCGGCCCCGCCAGAGGCCTGAGCCGCGGGCAGGGAATGCGCAGCGCTGGATCCGCGGGGAAGGCCGAACCCCGCCGGGCTCCGCCGCCCCCTTTTTCTCCCGCCACGTCAATAAAGGGGCTGTGAGCGCCTCTGCGCTGCCTCCGCCGCACCGGCACCGGGGCACAGCGACGGCACCGGGGGGGGGAGCGGGAGGGGAACTACAACTCCCGGCAGGCCCCGCGCCGGAAGGGGCTCCCGAGCGCCGCCGCCCCCTGGCGGGGACTGCGCGCAGCTGCAGCGGGGGCGGTGTCCGGGGGCCACGTGGGCACGGGCGGGGTGAGGGGACACGGGGTGACACACGCGAGTGGGCACGTGTGTGTGTGCCAGAGCTGCTCCGTGGGCACACGAGTGCGTGAGAGCTGCTCCAAGTGTGCGAGACCTGCCCAGTGGGCACAGGAGTGTGTGAGAGCTGTTCCATGGGCACATGCATGTGCTAGGTCTGCTGTTTGGGCACACGAGTGTGTGAGAGCTGCCCAGTGGGCACACTGGTGTGTGAGAGCTGCTCCGTGGGCACACGAGTGTGTGAGAGCTGTTCTGTGGGCACATGCATGTGCTAGATATGCTGTTTGGGAACACGAATGTGTGAGAGCTGCCTGGTGGGCACACGAGTGTACAAAAGCTGCCTGGTGAGCATAGAAGTGTGTGAAAGCTGCTCTTTGGGCATACAAGTGTGTGAGAGCTTCCCAGTGGGCACACGAGTGTGTGACAGCTGCCCAATGGGCACATGAGTGTGTGAGACCTGCCCAGTGGGCACACGAGTGTGCCAGAGCTGCTCCATGGGCACACGAGTGTGTGAGAGCTGCTCCAAGTGTGTGACAGCTGCCCAGTGGGCACACGAGTGTACAAAAGCTGCCTGGTGAGCATACAAGTGTGTGAAAGCCGCTTTTTGGGCATACAAGTGTGCCAGAGCTGCTCCATGGGCACACATGTGTGTTAGAGCTGCCCAGTGAGCAGGGACATGCATGGGAATGCCCACACAGGGGCACACGCGTGTGCAAGAGCTGCTCAGTCTGTGTGGGCGCAGGTGTGTGTGTGTAAGAGCTGCTTTAGGGGCACAGGTGTGTGTAAGAGCTGCCTGGTGGACAGAGATGTGTGAGTGTGAAAGCCACCGTGTGTGCATGGTGACACAAGTCACATGTGGTCACACAAGGGGCTGCCACAAATGCACACGTGTGTGCAGGAGCTGCCCGGTGGGCACACTCATGGGCAGAAGCTGTCACCAACATGGGCACACACGTGTGCAGGAGCTGCCACACACTCATGAGCACATGTGTGTGTGTGTAAGAGCTGCCCTGTGGGTCTGGACACACGTGTGTGCAGGAGCTGTCCTGTGTGCTCGGGCAGGAGCTGCCACACATTTGTGCAAGAGCTGTTTTCTGGGCAGGAACGTGCGTGTGCAAGCTGCCTGCTAGCCTACAGGTACACGTGTGTGTGCGAGAGCTGCCCTGTGTGCTCACCACGTGTGCGTGCAGGGCGGGGACCCACATCTGAACGGGCACAGGTGTGCAAGAGCTGCTCTGTGTGCTCACCACATGTGTGTGCAGAGCAGGGACCCACATCTGAACGGGCACGGGTGTGCAAGAGCTGCTCTGTGTGCTCACCACATGTGTGTGCAGAGCAGGGACCCACATCTGAACGGGCACGGGTGTGCAAGAGCTGCTCTGTGCGGGCACAGATGTGGCAGGAACACGTGTGAGCAAGAGCACGTTGGGCACACACGTGTGCAACAGCTGCCTGGTGGGCAGGGACACGGGTGCCACACCTGAGCAGGAGCTATCACACATGAGCACACACGTGTAGAGGAGCTGTTCTGAGGACACAGACACACACACGTGTGCAAGAGCTGCCTGGTGGGCAGGGACACAGGTGTCACACCTGAGCACACGTGTGCAGGAGTTGTTCCAAGGATACAAACACACACACGTGTGCAAGAACTGCACTGTAGGCTTGGTCACAGGTGTCAAACGTGAGCACACGTGTGTGCAGGAGCTCTTTGGGGACACACACACACACACATATGTGCAAGAGCTGCCTGGTGGGCAGGGACACGTGGCCAGCAGCTGCCACCACCGCGGGCACACGCGTGTGCAAAAGCCATCCCATGTGCACGGGTACACGCGTGCAAGAGCTGCTCGTGGGCACAGCCACGCGTGGGCAGGAGCTGCCCGGTGGGCCCGGGCACACACGTGTGTGAGAGCTGCCCCGTGTGAGCTCCCCGTGCCCGCAGGGCCTGGTACCGGTGGCTGCCGATGCCCGGTACCGGCGGGGGCAGCCAGCGCTGCCGGTGCCGGTACCGGGGCGGTGCCCGATTAGGCCGGAGCCGCCGGTGCCAGGGGCGGTGCCCATGGATGCCCGGGGCGTCGGTGCCGGTGCCAGGGATGCTGTTACCGGGGATGCTGAGCCCACATGCCCGGGCACTGTTGGTCCCGGTGCCGGTGGATATTCACGGTACCGGCTCGGTGTCGGGCTAGGAGAGGTACCGGGGAGTTGCCAGGGATACCGGTGCCGGTGGATGTTGGTGGTACCGGGGTTGCCGGACTGGGGCGTGGCTGCTGGTGCCGGTCCTGGTGCCGCTGGCTGCCGGTGGGGAGTTACCGGTCTCGGTGCTGGTCCCGATGGCGGTGCCGGTGCCGGTGGGTGCCGGTGCCGCCCGCCAAGGGTTAATGGCAGTCGGTGAAGTTGCCGGGCGGCGGCGCGGCGGGATTGGCCCGAAGTTGTCGGGGCGGGCCGGGCCGTGCCGAGCCCCGCCGGGCAGCCAGCTCTGGCGGCCCGCGCCGCCGCCACGGGACGGGACGGGACGGGACGGGAGGGGCGGCGGGCGGTGGGCTCGGGGGGGCGGGGCTGCTGGCCACCGGGCCACCGGGCGCCCACGGGCGAGACTGAGCCGGGGAGCACCTCCCGGTGGGACCGAGCCCCCGGGCATCCCCGACAGCAGCGAGCCCCCAGGTAATGCCGAGCAGGCGAGCGGCCCCCGGTGCGCCGAGCCCCCGGGCATCCCCGGTGGTACCTCCCGGTGGTACCTCCCGGCACCAAGCCCCGGTGGTACCGAGCCCCGGTGGTACCGAGGCACTGGGCAGCGCTGGGCGTTGGGCAGCGGGTGAGAAGCCCTGGGGGTGCTGAGCTCTGAGCAGCACCGGGTACCCCCGGTGGTACCGAGCCCCGGGCAGTGCAGAGCCGGTGAGTGCCCCAGCTGGTACCGACCCCCGGTGCCCACGGGGGACACTGAGCCCTGAGCACTCCCGGTGGCACCGAGCCGCTGGGCATCCCTGGGTGCCACCGAGGCAGCGAGCACACCTGGGTGGTGCTTAGCCCCAGGCACTGCTGGTGGCACTGAGCCCCGGGTGGCATCCAGCTCGTGAGTCTCCCTCAGTGACACCAAGCTCTGGGTGTTCCTGGGCAGCCCTGGTTGCCCCCAGGCCAGTGGGCACTCCTGGTGGCACCAAGCCCTTGGTGGCACCGAGATGGTGGGCAGTCCTGGTGCTGCCAGTCTGCCGGTGGTACCCGCCTGTGCTGAGCCTGAATGCCCTTGGTAGCACTGAAGTCTGGGCATCCTCTCGTGGCATCAGGCTGGTGGGTAGCACTTCAGGGCTGTGGGTTTCCATGGTGGGGGCACTCCAGCACCATTGGTGCTGCCTGTGAGCTTGGCTGTCACCAGGGTCTGGCTCCATCCCCCTTCCAGCCTCCTCCATTTTAGGTATTTCCCAGCTCGGGGCTTCTCAGGGAGCAGGAGGCAGGGTCAGGATCCTGGGGCCTCCCCCACGGAGCTCCTGGGCTCTGGGCCTGCTGCACTGGGGCACACCGGCACATGATGGGCAGGGCTGGGGGTGCAGACGCTGCCTTGCTCCCACCCTGCAGATGGGAGAGGTGAGACCCCACCAGCCATGGATGCCCCAGGAAGGGGGGCTCTGTGTGCCCCTCTGCTGGGTCAGGCAGGGCCCTGTGCCCCCAGCCCTTGGCTCTGCCCAGGCCCGTCCCAGCCAGCGTCACCCGTGGGATGCTCTGAGTCAGCAGGAGTCTGTGCTCCATCCTGCCCTCGGGGAGCCCCCAGCCTGAGTGGGGTGTTGGGGGTTCAATCCCCCCTTTGCCAGCGCTGCCATCCTGCTGATGAATATTCTGGACTCTGCCAGAACCGTCTGTGAACACCAGCTGCACCGGGGCCAGCTTGGGGGCCGAGGTCTCCCTGCCAGCCCCTCTTTTCCATCACCCATCCCAGAATCTCAGGACCAACCGTGTGCACACGCGTGTGCACGTTCATGTGTGTGCACACGTGTGTGTGCCTGCACAGCTGCTCCACCCCAGCCTTGCTGTCGGCACAACCCTGAGCTCACAGCATCCCCAGTGCTGCACCCCTGCCCTGCCCGCCCCGTGCCCCCTGCCCCGGCTGCCACCCCCTGCTAGCACCGTGCCGGGGCTGGAGCGTCCCCAGCACACGGTCCCCCAGCGGCGTGTCATGTCCGATCAGCGGCCAGGCGGGTGCCTGGGGCGAGGGGCTTTGTGCCTGGGCAGCGTGGCTGCACAAACCCCCCCGGCCGCGGTGGCCGAGCCCATTCAGCTCCAGCGGCCTGCAGCTAATCCGAACTGATGCCTGGCTGTCGGGGGTTTTTTGGGAAAAGCCCAGCTCCCTGCTCCGCTGGGGCAGCAGGGCACCCCTCCTAAGAGACCCCCGGCTTGTCCTGCCCGGCAGGTTCCTGCGGGACGATTACTCCATCCAGGTGGCCATCAATGACTACCTGGACATCTACTGCCCGCACTACGAGGGGGCGGTGCCGGCCGGCCGGGCAGAGACCTTCACGCTCTTCATGGTGGATCGGGAGGGTTATCGCGGCTGCTACGAGACCCCCGGCGCCTTCAAACGCTGGGAGTGCAACCGGCCCCGGGCGCCCTTCGGGCCCGTCCGATTCTCCGAGAAGATCCAGCGTTTCACCCCCTTCTCACTCGGCTTCGAGTTCCAGCCGGGGGAGACTTACTACTACATCTGTGAGTCCCCTCTGGGAGCCGCGGGGGCTGCGCTGGGGTCACGGGGCGCTGGGTGTGCTTCCCGGGGTCAGAACACGTCAAGGGGTCTTGAGTGCAGCTCTCCAGGGTTGGGTGTCACCAGGATGCCCATGGAGCCGAGTTTAGGGCGTGTGGGGGGTGAGGCTACAGCCAGGATGCCACTGAGGGTGAGGGGAACATGGGGGTTCTGAATGATGCCAGGGCTGAGGTGCAGGAGGCTGTGGGTGTCCCAAGGGTGGGGGCACGAGGGGATGGGGATGCAGGGGGTGTCTGGATGCCCTGGGGTAGAGGATTCATCGAGGTGTGGGGTGCAGAGGGGTTCTAGATGCCCTGGGGTGGGGAATTCATGGAGATGTAGGGTGCAGAGGGGTTCTGGATGCCCCTGGAGGGTGGCACGAGGGCATCGGGGTTAAAGGGGTTTCTGGATTCCCATGGAGGGGGGCACAAGAGGATCAGGGTGCATGGGTGGGGTCTGGGTGCCCTGGTGTGGGGAGGTGGGTTGCAGGGTGGGCTCTGGGTGCTCTGGCAGGGGGCACGAGGGCTCGGGGTGCCCCCGGTTCGGGGTGTCCCCGATTCGGGATGCCCTCGGTTCGGGGTGCAGGGTGGGCTGTGCGTGCTCCGGGGTTGGGGCACGAGGAGTTGGATTCCCCCCGGTTCGGGGTGCAGGGGGTGTTTGGGTGCTCCGGGGTCGGTGCCGCCGGTTCGGGGTGCAGGGTGGGCTCTGGGTGCTCCGGAGTGGGGGCACGAGGGGTCGGGGTGTCCCCGGTTCGGGGCGTCCCTAGTACGGGGTGCCCTCGGTTCGGGGTGCAGGGGATGTTTGGGTGTTCCGGGGTTGGGGCACGAGGGGTCGGGGTGCCCCCGGTTCGGGGTGCAGGGGGTGTCTGGGTGCTCTAGCGGGGGTCACGAGGGGTCGAGGTGCCGCCGGTTCGGGGTGCCGCCGGTTCGGGGTGTCCCCGGTTCGGGGTCCCGGGGGGGCTCTGCGTGCTCCGGGGTGGGGGCGCCGTCCCCGCGTTCCGCCAGGAGGGGGCGCCCCCGGCCCGCGCGGAGCCGCCGTCGGGGGGTCCCGGGGGGGCCGCACCGGAGCCGGTCCCCGCTGACCCCCCCTGCCCAGCCGTGCCCAGCCCCGAGAGCGCCGGGCGATGCCTGAAGCTGCGCGTCACCGTCTGCTGCAGAGGCACCAGTGAGTCCGGCCGGGGGGGCTGTGCCCCGAAACTCGGGGGCTCCACCGGTCCCCACTGGGGGATACCGGAGCCTCGGGGGCGGTTCCACGTAACCCACGGGAGCCGGTTCCTGACATCGGTGGGTTTTTTTCAGCGCCAGAGCCGGTGACAGAGGTGCCGAATTCGCAGCCCCGAGGGCGCGGTGGGCCCGAAGGTGGGTACAGGGGTGGGGCTGGGAGCTCGGGGACCGGCTCGCCCTGACCACTGCTTCTGCCCTGGCAGATGTGGCTCCTGCCCGGGGCACCGCGGTGCCATCACAGCCCTGCAGCCCATGCCTGACGCTCGTGCTCCTGGCCCTGCTCTGGATCTGACCCCGGCGCTGCCCCTGGCGGGGGGATGGGCTCCTCTGCCCCAACGCCGCTTCCAGACTCTTCCTCCCAGCCAACCCCCCCGAGCCCGTGGGGCAGCCCCAGGCCATGACCCGCCTGCTGGACCTCCGCAAAGCCGAGCTGGGGCCAGGAGCTCCGGGCTGGAAGGTGAGGGGCAGCGGGGGCTCCGGGGCACTGGGTGGGCATCTGCCTGCTGCCCCGAAGCATCCCTGGACGGGGCTCTCTCCGTCTCAGGGCCATCGCATCGCCGCACGTCGGGATTGCCGCGAATCCGCGCTGGGATCGCCACACCCCGGCCCTGCCCCACCGGCCACCGGCCCGGCGCTGGGGTCCCCTCAGCGAACGCCTGCTCTGCCCCACGGCCACCACCTCATCTCGTGCCTTTCCCCACGGACCCCCTCCCCTGGGGCCCAGGGACCCCCGACCCCGGAGCGGGGCAGCAGCTCCGATGGCGGCATCCGCCGCTGCTGTGTCCTCCTGCAGCGAGGACACGCTGATCTGTCTTCTGGGAAGACGCCTTCCTCCGTGCCCTCGGTTTGGTTTTAACCCTTGGTAGTGACTGAGCAATACAATATTTGCAAGATCGCTGCGCCCCCGGCTGTGCAGCCCCCCTGCCATCCCCCTGCCCGTGCCCCCCAACCCTGCGCGGGTGCCAGGGCAGCTCCTCCAGGGTGTCCCTGCCCCTCGCTCCCTGCACAGCCCTCATGGCCAAGGGCTTCATTGCAGCAGTTTGATATTGTCATCAGCTCCTGTCACCGGAGAGCTTTAATTACAGATGAGCTGCTGGTGATTAACACCTGGTGGTGGGATGAGCAGTGGGACAGGGGGTGAGGGGGCAGTGGGCTTGGGGGTCACTCACCCAAAGCCCCCAGCCAGGCACCCTGGTCCCTCTTGCCACCTTTGGGTGTGGTTGGGGTGTCCACAGAGCAGCCGCTCTCTGTCCATCTCTCCATCTATGCACCCCATAAGATGCCAGAAATGGGGGGTGTGGGGAGCTGCAGGGTTTTCCCCTTCCTGAGTGGAAGGGGGACCAGCGGGGGCTGATCCCATGGCACAGCTGTGTCCCTGTCAGAGTCACAGCTCTGCCACATGCCTCAGGCTTGCCAACCGATGGGAGAGTTCCCTGATGCTCTCAGCCCCCCATCCCATGAATGCAGCCCCCCACTTGCCCTCCTGAGGGGCTCGAGAGGGGCCCAACTCCCCCCGGGGCCGCCTACAGCAGGGCCCCCCAGCCCCTCGCCGTGCAGGCGTTGCCGGCCGCCTGCCGCAGTGGTGCCGGGCACGTCAGACAGGTTTTATGGCTTCTGGGAGAAAGAAGCTGCTTGGCAAGAGGCTGAGCAAAAGCATCGACCGTGCCGCTCCCCTCCCCCCGCGCGGCTGCCTGCCCTTCCCCCACTGCACCCCATCGTGCACCCCGTCCTGCAGGGAGGGGTGCCCCCTCCCCCTGGGGGACACGGAGGCTGCCTAGTGCAGGGGGGGCATCTCCTGTGGGACCCTCCCCTCCCCAGGATGGGGTGAGACATTCTGGGGGACATCATACCCGAGGGATCCCCGTGTAGGATGCTGGGTGGGGCATCCCCCAAAGTACCCACCTGCGGGGATGCTGGGGGGCAGTGGGGCCTGTAGGACCGGTGGGTGGGGATGTCAGGGGTGATGGTGACTTGTGGGACCCCCATGCAGGGATTCCAGGGGACAGCCATGTCCTGCAGGACCCCCATGCAGGGATGATTGGGGGCTGTATCCTGCAGGACCCCCATGCAGGGATTCCAGGGGGCTGTACCCTGTGGAGCCCCCATGCACAGGTTCCAGGGGACAGCCATGCCCTGTGGAACCCCCATGCAGGGATGCTGAGTGGGGGCATCCCCCAAAGAACCCCCATTCAAAGATGCTGGGGGACAGCAGTGCCCTGCAGGCTCCCTTTGCAGGGATGTTGGCGGGCAGTGCCTTGCAGGAACCCATGCAGGCATTCAAGGAGGGGCTACCCATTGCACCACCCCTTCCCCAGACCCTCAGGCATTCCCAGACAAGGCCAAGGGGTCCCTCTGGGACCCCCAGAGTGGGTGCTAGGTCTGGGTCCTGTCCTTGAGCCAGAGTTATTTGGTATGCAGGAGCTGCCACCAGCTTCAAATCCCATCGACTTCCAATGAGCAATGCCATCAATAACGGCTAATTGATGGCGCGGCCGCTCCAAATCAGATTCCCCGTCCCCTGAATCCAATTGATGGCTCCGCACCCCGCAGCCGCCGCGGCAGAAATTGAATCTATTCAAGGAATGGGCTCCATTAGCCCATCCCTTCTGTCTCACCATCCCCCTGCCTCGGGGCTGCCCCTACGCCCCCCCTCCCAGTGCCACCCACACCAGCCGGGGTGCTGGGGTGCCCATGGGGAAGAATGTGGGGTGATGATGCTGGGTGCCCCAGGTGGGTGGGAGTTAAACCTTCAGAAAGTGGGAAGGAAAAATTTATCACCTGGAATAGCAAGTGATGGGAAATGGTAATAGGCAGCACGGAGATGGAGAGCAGGATAAAGAGCCGTGTCGTGCCAGGGGCTGGGAGCCACAGCAGCCACTGAGGAGGGAGCACAGCGTGGCTGGCTGTGCCCACCCCATGGCCTGGCTCACTGTCACAACAGGGACTGTGGCACTAGGATGAGCCTGCTGGGCACAAGCCCTTTAGCTCTGTGGTGTTCCCACTCCTGGCAGCAGATCCCTCACCCAGCCACGCTGCCCCCACCCAACCCTGCTGTGGCAGGGGCTTCAGCGTGCCCCAAACATCCCTCATCACCCCAGCACGAGGATGAGGTCAGGTTCTGCAGCTGTCCCGGGGTAGCCCGAGGACACACAGAGGACACTGGGCACGGTAACCTGCCCCGAGGGATGAAAGGGGGGGGGCACAGCCCCCCAGGGCGGTGGGGCCCATCCCTGCCTGTTCCCCATGGGCGAAGGGCAACGGCAGCAGCGCCCACCCCAGAGCTGTCGAGAGCATCCCGGAGATGGGAAATGGCTCCGTGTCACCATGGAAACGGGGCCACTGGCTCGACATGCCGAGGGGACACGTGTGCTGAGGGGACACGCACGCTGAGCCCTGAGGAGCAGGGCACTGGGAATGCCAGACATTGGGCACCATGGACTGGACACCGGGCACTGGCCGCAGGACTCTGAGAGCCCATCACCCACCTCGGACCAGCTCCCTCATTACCCGGCAGCCACGGGCACTCTGAGGGATGCCACCTCTCCGTGATGCCACCTCTTCGCGATGCCACATCTTCGCGATGCCACCGTGGCCGGGCAGCTCCACAGCCCCACAGCAGGGCTGAGCAGGGGGCGCGGGGGCCGGAGCGGCCGTTCCCGAGCAGCCGCCTGATGATACGCATCGTCAAGGTTATAATTTAGCAAAACACTCAGCGGGGGCTTGGAGGGAGCTGCCCGCGCCGCTTAATTAACCGGAGCTGCACGCACCGAGCCCGCTCCTGCCATAGCAATGAGGGTGCGGGCACCGGGCTGGCGCGGCACAGGCAGAGGCTGGCACATCCCACCTGCATCCCCAGGGCTGGGCGAGCAGCTGGCCAGTCCCAGCTGCCCAGCTGGGAGCAGCGGGCACTGATGTTTGTGTCCACTCCAGGGACCAGGGTGGCAGTCAGTGTGTGTGAGACAGCCTGGCACTGGTGGGTGTGCACGTGCAGGGGTGTAGGCACAGATGTTGCCTGTGCCATCACTGTTCCGGGCCAGGGTGGCTGTTTGTCCATGCCTGTGTCCGTCTGTCCTGTCATTCCTGTGCCCTTGCATGAGCTGGAGTGCACTCCCAGTGTGATGTAATCTTGCTGGACAATAATCCTGATGGACAATGCCAGAGCAGGGATGGGCAGGAGCTGCCCTTGCTGCCAGCTCTGCTTGGACCTGCTGCAGACTGAGGGCCTGCATGGTCCCCGTGCCGGGACAATCTCTGCATCCCTGGGGAGAATGATTAGGACTTCAGTGGGTGGGTGCAAATGACACGGGGCACCACCCCAGCACAGTGCCCCTGTCTCCAGGGCAGCCAGACATTGGGGGCAGAGGCTGGGGCAGGTGCCCACCCTGGGCAGCACCTCCCAAGGGGATGCTGAGGTGCTCTGTGCCAGGGTGCCACCAGGCTCACGCCACCTGCGCTGCCATCCGGCCTCTGCAGTGGAAGGATGCTGTGGGGATGGTGGAGGTGGAGCCCTGGAGTGTCTTGGGCCCTGCTCCTGACATCCACTGATCAGCCCTGTGCTCATTTGATCCTCAGGCTGCTAACGAGCTTCCCCTGCAAAGAGCTCGTTAGCCACGGCAGAGCCTGGAGCTGCCTGACCAGCACCAGGGCAGCTCCTCAGGTGCCTGCAGTCCCAGCCCAGGGACAGGGACAGGACAGGCCAGTCCCAGCAGCTGGCAGGAGCTGGTGTGGCCAGCCTGCGGCCAGAGGCAAGTGCAGCACAGGGGGGTGGATGCTCTGAATTATTGAGCACAGGAGCACAAAGTGGCTGTGACAGCAACACCTGCATGGGGGGCACGGGGCCATGCTCACAGCCAGGCATGGGGCCCCACCTAGCCCAGATGGAGCAGCTGGGCACTGCCAGGCTGCAGGGACACTGCACCCACCCAGGATCCTCTGCCAGCCCCTCGGGTGGTGGCTGCCAGCAGCACAGGGCACCCCACACCTGCCAGCACCTCTTGGTGCTCTCCTGGCCATCCCCAGCCCCTCCTGCCGTGTCTCCTGCCCAGCACCCAGCTCTCATCACCTGGCCAGCAGCACAGGCCTGGGGTGACTGCAGCCAGTGGAGGGAACCCCCATTTTCTGTGTGCCCCCAGCCCCTCTCGTGAGCCGTTTCCAAGCGATGCATTATTGAAGCCCCCCCGTGCCATCGCTCGCGGCCGGCGTGACGGCAGGCGCCGCCTCAGCCCTGATGAATATTTCAGTCCCTGAAATCTCCTGCGCCTGCACGCTCAGCCCCAGTCCCCCCTGCCCCCCCAGCTTATTGGCTCCTTTGTTTCCCTGTGCTTCTGCCCAGCACCACGGCC